GTCACTGTTTCATAAACAAAATAGATGGATTAAAATAATACATTACCAATATGCTGACATGTGGAGATATTTTAATTAGAAATTCTTAAACTGTGTGATATTTAGCTGTTGTATTTGCTAAAGAGAAGCATGCATCATTTAATAAGAAAGCATGAGACAGGTGCATTACTTTGCATGATATGGTACCAGATTGTATTTAATATAAACTATGAGGCAACATTACTTCCAATTAAAAAACAAAACCAAATTACTTTAGGTACCTATCACATTGAAAGTAACAACAAAAAATGAATCAGTACATTAAAATCACTCTTTCGTTTAAAAAAAAGTGTCATTCTGAGCTTAGTTTCTGAGACAATATTTCTTCAGAACAATCTAACATCATAGCTATTTAAAGGCCATATTTACATGACTGCCTCATTATACTGGTCCCCCCCTTTTGACTTACTTGAAGGACCAATGCTAACATAGCTGAGGAAAGCAAATGGCAACTGGTCCTGAAATTTATACGGGTAGAGAACTGGAATAAGTAGAAATATAATATATTGTTTACTGTAGCAAGTGCCCTCTGTTCTCTAAAGGTCAAAAGCACTGTAACCTTAGAGTTACAGTTTCTGATTGTTCCAAGGGTTAAATACATTATCAAAATTAATGGTTCAAGCCCCTCAACCTTCAGATATATGAGTATTCATGCCTCCATCTGCTGAACTGTTCAACTAAAAATAGCATTCTTTGGCCTTCTCTCTCCTAATATCGTGCTCCTGAGGCAGAGAAAACTATGCCTTAGATCAGCACGGAGTACCAAAAAAAAACCAAAAAGCAAAAAAACTTTTGTGTCTTTCTTATTTTAAAGAAAGAAAGAACTGGAATATACTAACGTAAGGAGGATCTCTCCACTTTAAATACCTTTTCTCTACCTGATAACAAAATTTCAGGCTTCCAGAGTATAACTATACTGTTAAGATTACCCAGGCTCATTAATGTTAAAAGTGACAACCTTTGAAGGACAAATTAACTGTACATCAGGTAGAGAGGACCACTTCTGAGCAATGCAGCAGGGTGTGTGTGGAGGTGGTGGTGGTATATATGTGTTATGGTCTTTCTTCCTAAGAATCTCTGATTAGAAATAAAACCTATTAACATAATTGTAATGCTTAGTATCCACAATTTATCATAATCCTATCCACAGTTGACACAGCTGTGACATTTAGCTTGTCAAAGGAATGGAGAAAACCCTGGCTAGAAAAGAAAGTAGACTTTAAAATCAATAAAGCAAGATATTATTAAATTTTCTCTCTACTTTTGCTCAAGATTTAAAATGTTAGTGTCTATAGCAGGTTAGATATGGGTGTCCACTGTGCAGTTCATGGAAGTCCCAATAAACATGCTATACTCATACCAGGATAGTTTGAGAAACCTGCCTTTCAAACCAGGTCAATCTTTTCTAAGCAAAGGTTTCCTGACATGCAAGGAAAGGTACAAAAAGTGGAAGCTAGAGAACAGAGCAAGAATAAAAAAACAACAAAAAAACCCAGGAAACTCTCAAACCACCCCAAACTTACACTGCAAAGCTATGAGGGCCCCCTGCCTTACCAGATTCTGTATTTAGTCTCATTAAAGTGGCAGGCATGTGGCATATGTTGTGCTCCTAGATCCGCATTGCTACAGCACTACACGGATCTGGCACTCACATATATGACATCATGGTTTCCAGAAACCCAACAGAAGCCAGATTTGACAGCATCAGAGGTCTGTGATGGTGGGGGGAAGAGAAGTCAACCTAAGTGAAAATTAGTAAAAGAAGACACTGGGTAGAAAACTGGCTAAGGGAAGGTTGATGGGATAGAACCCAACACCTCAAGAGAAAATAAAAGTCAAGAGGAGAGGAAGTTTTTAATTTGAGCCAAGGCCACTTGCTTTTACATTCTTTCAAGCACTTAAAAATTTAACAAAGTACCTGTCCTGTGTAGGTAAGCTTGCTAACTGTCATCACACAGAAAGGCTCGTTCTTAACGTCCAGTTATCTCACTGCTTGCCAATCCTAAGCACAGTAGATTTTTAGAACGTCCAGAAATATGGCACCTTCTCTACAGCCAAAAGAAAGCCTTAGAAAAGAAATCCCTTCTGGCTGTATAGAAGACAGCAGATATTCTAACAGTATATGCCTTGTCATGTCTGGGTGGAAACCCCCTATATACTTCTTATAATCAAAGGGAAAGGGAAAGGAAGAAGGCAAGCAACAAGGTCTGAACTCCTCCTTAGGCTACTTCCAAGGTGTCCTTTGATCTTGTCCTCTTCCTTCTTCTTAGAAGTGAGCTTTCTCTATCATTTTCCAAAAATGCAGATTTAAAAGCAACAGAGAAGATAATGTCAAAGGGACACTTTATTGATCACATAGTAGTTGATATGTATAGACAGGCAGAGCCAATAGGAGCTGAATATACAACTTTGTTAGATGTAATTGTTTTCTTCTTTTTAAACTGGGTTTACCATCCTAGGTTAGAACATAAATGTAGTATTAGATCTAACCCAGAAAGTTAAAGTGTATTTCAGTGTGAGATAACCTGTCTCCTTTTTTTGTGACTCAACAGATAGCTAGCAACCCTCCAGCATCTGATAGTACCCCGAGAGGTACTCCAATGATACAGGAGAGGAATTAAGCATGATAATGGAGAGAGGAGGACTGGGTCCCTATAGGAGAAAGGGGTTTGGTTTTCAAAAGAGCCGTATGAGCCATCCTCTCCCATGTAGTAAGAATATCCCACAAAAACAACAAAGAGCTTTATTTTAAGTTACATATGAAGGAGCTACTATAGTAGTTTATGTCAGGCCCAGGCACCCAACCTCACTTCAGCCAGAGAAAACTAAATTTGAAAACCTGAATTTGGTAGAGTTAGAAATCCTGGATAATAACTCTGACTCCAAGAATATTTCGTAACCTTGGTTAAATAACCTGACCTCTCTGAACCTCCATTGTTTTGTCTGTGAAAGCAGAATTATGTTTTATCAACTCCATAGGGTTGTTACATGGTCAAATGAGTTTTTTTTTCTTTTAATGTTTAAGTGTTTTTTAACTACTATACAGCATTATACATTAAAAAAAAGAGTAAGGGAAATAAAGATGGTTTTGAAAGCACTCATAATGTAAAGAATTTGCTTAAATATATAGCAATAAACAATGTATTTCAGAGGCGTTGGTCTGGGGTTTGCCTTTTTCTCTGAAAGAAAAAGGAGCAAAAATGAGCCTCCTTAGGAATGAGAAAAAGGGAGAGATTATGTTTTAGTGTTTAGGTTGAGTGTTTGCTACTTTTTAAAAAAAGCCTAGAATATGACTGAACAATCCAGTCCCCCACCCAATGAAGCACCAATGGAAGTATTCATACCTCAATCTGTTTGTGGTTGTAAGAGTGGCCACCACCATGTTCAAAGGTGTCCAAACTCCTGCCAAAACGGTCACTTAGGCCCTTTAGCCTTGGGTTAATTTGTGGGTGGGAGACATGACCTTTCTGTTTAGTAGCATATTCAGAAAAAAAAAAAAAAAAAAGACAAAACATACTGTCAGAACTCATGAAACAGAACACATATTTCTAAACCCAGGGTCTTGACCACACCAAAGAATAGAAAGTAGGTTTAGGACCCAGATACTCTCTTTCACAGAAACTTGATTATAGGATCAAACTGCTTTCTTATTTTTGCCTCTGACTCAAGAAGACACGCGATAGCATAGCTATGAAAAAAGGAGAAATAGATTAGATTGATTATGAGTGAGGTTTCTTTTTATATTTTTACCAACTGCAGTAAGTTCCCCTGTCAGTAGTAGAGAAGGTGAGGGTTTAGAAGAGAGGTAGCGTTGCTGCTTTCATTAGGCAAAATGTCTAGCTCTGCTAGGCAGTCCATAATGGACAACATCTTCAAGACTTTCTGGATGAGGCTTATGACAAAAACTTCTCAAAGTACTGCAAAAATTCTTTATTTGTAGACCCAGTTGAAGATACTCAAAATGATACTTTTTCACGGTAAAATATCTGTACATTTTTTACGTTCAAGTCATATGAGTAACAGCAAAGAAGAAACAAAAATGCCTAGTTAGATGCTATTCCCTAGACTATTTAAGAAAATTCAAAAAAAATCACAGTAAATTATAAGAATAAAAACTATCTCTATCCACTGTATTGAAATTCAAGTTACCATACATTTTCTAAATGTTCAAATACTGAAGGTTTAACCATTATTTTAATGATATTATCTTTTTGTTTTTGTTAAAATATACACTCATATTTAAAGTCAATTTCCCATTAAGATGGCAGTGCTAGAAGGGTATAAAGATTACTTAGTCCTATTGTTAACCACCACCCCCCGCACCATTTTACTATGAAGAAGAGAAGGTGCAAGTGATTTTTTAATTTAGCTTCCAAAACACTTTCTCTCCAATTTTAGTTCCATAGGTAAAGAACACTAACCCAGAATTTGGTCAGACACCATGCCCAGACTTTTGACCTGGCATGAGGATGAGGACGAGAATACACATATTCAGGAGCAAAGTGTTCACATTTTCCAAATAGTTAAAGTAATTTGGTAATAACAACCCCCTATTCCATGAGCTGCAAGAAGGAAAATATCCAACATTGTTTTCTGTTTTGATGCTTATGTGTAAAAGCTAATTGGACATGAATGGAGACGTGGACGAAGAATTGATAAGGAAAAAGCTTACATACCCAATAACAACCATAACAACCAGCCATAAAAAATTGTAAAACCATTAACTTACCTGATCGAGAACATACAGTACTGAGTCCTAATGTCATTTTTTCCTTTAAAAATATTGACACTGACAGTTTTCTCTTCTATTTGCAGTATGGTAAGTACATAAGGTGTTAATCCTTCTAGGCTATGCTTAAAAAATTATTTAATATCCAGGCCATTATTTAGCATACAGCTGGTTAGCAGTTTTCCACTAAAGTACTGGCTCGGATCACACATTTTTTTCTTCTGGCACTCACCTGGAGCTGTAAAGGGCTGAGTCCAGAAGCAGCAGCAGCTGCCATTGTTGATGGAATGAACTGTACAGGGTAGTTATCACCTGTCGGAAAGAACAATGCATACAGGTTTAGACAATGAACAGGGAATCACAGCAGACAAGTACAAACATGGTCCTTGGATTGCCGGAGCTTTACAACATTGCTCTAAGCCCAAACATCTGCAGAAACAAAAGGCTTAGTTGGGCACAGACTTGCACTGCTGCCTTGGAACTTTTTGTTAACAGATAGCTGGTAGGCAAACTGGCAAAACATGAATGTGATGTTAAAAAAATTAAATGTGCAAGTCAAGCATGTTCACTCCATTACAAATCTTGTAATACATCATTTTTTTAAGAGTAAAAAAATATCTTAAAGCCAGGCTGACATTCAGTTCACTGAAAAAGCATTAAAGCTTTTACATTAAAACAACAAAACGTTTTGCCTTGGTAGGCAAGGCAGAGTATTACAGTCCAAAAAAGATTAAGAATTACTGACTGTCCATAACCCTAATGTTTATTTTATAAAAAATAGAGGAAAAAAATTAAATGCAACCTCTTTAATTTGATTGGGGTAAGAGAGAAGCTAATCTTATCTGCCAACATTCTATGAAACGCCTGGTATCCCAAACAGAGTGGAAACTATGTTTTTCTGCACTAACTTCCGGTGGAACCTAGTACAGAATCATGCACACACACTAGGCACCCATCACTTATTCTCTGATGATGATTTGATTAAATAAACACACACTTTACATGTGATATCTGCATTAAATGTCTGGTCGAGATTGAGCATGGTTTAGCAGAGATCAATGCTACATCTTAATGTGTTTCTGGCTCCAGACCACTCCTAAACAGGGGGGCTGAGGTACCTTCTGTGACCTAAGAACATAGGCTGTATGAAGCGAACAACCTGAAAAACCAAGAGAAAGTGATGAGGAATGTATTGTGATAGTGGCAATTGAAATAAAAATTAATACTTATGGATAAATTATACAATATCAGTGATTTCATGGAGTATCACTTTGACTTCAGCTACTTATTTAAAGTCAGTGTTATGTACTGTCTCTAGGCTATATTTTAATAGGCTGTTCCTCCACACATTTTTGACATTTACAATAATCATGCTGTTTTGCATGAACTTTTCCACACTAAAAGCTGAATATAATAATGAAAAGTATAGAAAGAATCACAGTAATAAAGGTAGTCAACTAGAAAGCAATAAAACCCCTTTTTTTCTGCGTGGACACTAATACCTGGAGCCTTCCTGGTGCCCCTGGTTCGTTGGAACTCATCCTGTTTGCCACATGAAGTTCCACTCAGCTGGCCCAATGTAAATGTTAAGTTGCTTTCACTTTTAACAAATTGTAAGCTTCTAATCTACACAGTCTCTTTGCATCATATCCATAATACCTCATCAGACCATTGAGCACAGTGTGCGCTTGTACACAGTCCAGTAACAATTGGCTTCTGATTGCATATGGAGCGCTGCTACAATGCATTCACTAACACTATACTGTGCTAGTCTCCTATGGAGTAATGTTCAAAATATCTGATCTTGTTTTTCCCCTTCCATGAGGTTGATTTTGGTTTGCAGTGCTACATGAGCTTTTTAAAAAAGATAACTAGGCCAAATTATTTTTTATGGTAAATGACTGCCGCTTTATGCTTAAATAATTCTACTGATCCTCTTGATATTTAAACTAAATTATCTGAAGAAAGAATATCCTAATCTAAGTCAAACAGTATTTCTTTGGTTGACATCTTATCAGGTTAAAAAAATCACAAAACGATGCTGAATTAATGATGCTTCAAAAATAGAGAAAAAAAAAATCACCATTCCAACCATCAACATGGGCTGCCTCTCAGAACATTTTAGAGCTGTTCTTTCTTTAAATATCATGCATTATTCATACTAACTCTAAACCATAACCCTCCTCCCTGTAAGTTTAATACCAGTTGTTGTTTTATTTGTACTAAAACATTTTTCATGTCAAACATATTTTAAAAAATCGAACTCTAAAAGAATTCCCTGGGGCACTCCTTTTTTCATAGCTGTCATGCTTCTATGCTATGAAATAGCTGATTTTTTTTTTTATAGTTTTTGGCTTGCCAGTTAATTTATTACCATCTCTACCACACCCTGTAGTACTCTCCAGCTCACCTGCTGGCTACAAACAGCTTTCTTTCCACTGCTGACAAGCATATTTTTAAAATGTTTTTAACCTTTTTGCTGGTTTGAATCTGTATATCTGAATATAATCTTTGGAAAGCTATGTCTCCAGAACATATTGTATCAATACCAAAAGTAAAAATGAATACATTAGAGCAACTGAGTATATCACAGGGAATGATCAGAAGAGAGAGAAAAAGGAAAAGGCCAGAGAGGGAGAAGTAAGGGTGAAGAAGAGGGGGGTTAAAAGTAGAAGAGAAGATTTAAGAGGGAGAGGGATTTAGAGTACTGTGAAGTTTAATTCTTTTAAAAAGTTACAAGCTTTCCCCCCCTCCCCCTCGCCTTTAATTGTCTCTGTGTAAGAGTCGATCAAGAAAAAGTTCTCAGTGGCTGACTTGGCAAGAAATCAGTCAACATGTTGTAGCAATTTTTTTCAAATTTGTCTCTGGATTTGAAATGCTTGCGTGAGGACCCATTCTCTTTAAATCTGTACAAAAGAAGATGAAGCCTGTTGAAACAGGTTGGTTTTAGGCACTACTGTAATCTGGCTCTTGCTACCTCTAGTATAAGTAGACAACCTCCAAATGCCAATTTGGGAAATAATGCCCATTACATAAATCCATCTTTCCAGGCTTCTAGGTTTTCCAACTGATTATTTTTATCTGGAGCTTACAGAGCAAATATGAAACAGGAGTTACAGCCTATAGGACATTTGCCTGACATTAGTTTCACTTGCCACAATAACCAACATTGCTTTGGGATCAAAGCAGCTCCACAGCAAGAGTCCCTGAATGACAGGAAGTATATTTTCTAATTTTCAGGGAAACCGAAAGGAAGCCGAAACTTATTAAGACTTAAACACAGGAAAAGGAGGAGCTTGTATCATGAACCTAGGACCCATTAGACTCAGACTACCTCCTGCAAGAATACTCCTAGTTTGTGTAATTCGGATACAAACTTCACTTTTATTAAAAAGTCAAAAATCCCATGGGTAAAATTCTGTCCATTTACTTTGATTCCTCAGAAAGACGAGGGACTGGGATGGTTGCAGTCTTCTGAGGTACTAACTTCAGATATTAACCTATTTAGAGAGGTTGGGAGGGGTAGAGAAGAAAAATACGTTAAACTAGGAGACAGGACTCAAAGATTCTTCAGTTACTGGCTCAAAGTCTCATACCTTATTTTCCACCCTCCAAAACAGAAGAAAGATATACTACACATCCCTCATCTCACAGATCATTGTCTGGTCGTATCACAGGATGATGGTAAGTTATTTGAGTTGCCAGATAACTCATAGATACACCCCATTTTTATGAGCTATTATCATTTTTGCTGCAATATGGAAATATTTCAATTACAGCCAACAGTATAGACTTGGACATGCCACATTGCATCTTGCCTGGATGCATGTATTCAGAATAGCAAAATATTATAACTTTTCTGTATTCTGAGGGAATGCCATAATCAATCTGAATTTATCTTTGTGAGACAGCACACTGCAGCAAAAGTTAGTAGGCAATGAGTGACACATTTAGAATCTTAAAAAGAAAACAAAATCTTTAATTTGTTCTGAGAACAATTGGAGAAAAAAATTGCCATGGATCATAGTATATATTGCTGAGATCACCATGCTCTTATTTCTCCTGCTAAACTTCTCCTCTATTCATCAAAGAATAGACCAATGATGAGAAGAGTCTTGATCTCAAGACTTTTTCTAAGAGCATCTGCATTGTTTTTCATACCTTTAAAGAAGCTAAGAATCAAGGATCAATCTTAATTTCTTTACTTATTTCATAGATGCATCCAAACTCTTGGCTAATCATATGAAAATCATGGGATTTGTCACAATAGCAATTAAATAAGTGAGTATGGACAAAATGATATACATGTATCCCCATTACAAGAAATTAACTTAAAATAACAAAGTTCATGACTTAGTAACTCACCAATGATATAGCCTCCATATATGAAGAAGGGCACAGTTAAAATAATCTCAATCACCATAAAACTAGGTTAGTTTATACAGGTGAGCATATATAGTTCCTTCTTGGACCTCACCACTCTTATTTAAAAAGGGGAGTACTAACCTGAAGAACCTCAGAAATGCTTTGATTTCAAGTAGATGGATTTAATTAATAAAGTATTCCAGCAATAGTGGTACATGCCTCTGTTTTAAATAGTCAAGAAGAGCTAGAAATGGCTAGCTTCACAAGATGTCATCTAGATAATCCCATACATATAAATCACATTTTTTATACACACACACTCACAAAAGCTAGACTTTTCTTCATATCTCACACACTTAGATCATGCCTGCAAGAGTATAAAATGTCAAATATTCAGAATTTCAGTCTGAATTCTACCTCCACTAATTTCTAGATGTGAAAGTTTGGAAAGAGTTAATTTACTTCTTTGACTTTTAGTTTCTTTTTTTCTTTTAACAAAATATAGATAATGCCACTTATATCTTAGAGTTGTTATAAAAATTAAATGAGAATATATATGTATATTCATATACATTTATATATATAGATATCAGCAAATAAATGGTGCTCAATAAATGCTAACTGAAACAAAGGAATTAAAAAGAAGTATTAGGTAGCAACTGTACATCAGCAAATTAGACAATCTAGAAGAAATGGACAAATTCCTTGAAACATACAAATTATGTAAACTGTCTCAAGGAGAAATAGATAATATAAACAAACCCATAATAAGAGATTGAATCAGTAATCAAAAACCTCCCAATAAAGAAAATTCCTGGACTGAATTTTTGGCTTCACCAATAAAGTCTACTGAATATTTAATAAAAATTAACACTAATCCTTACAAAATCTTCAAAAATATTGAGGAGGAAACACTACCTAACTCTGAGGTAATGAGGCCAGTGTAA